TTTTTTTTTTTTTTTTTTTTTTGGGTTGGACATTGTTTGCACCTCGGGGACCGGTCCGGACTGTCCGGTGTCCGGTGATGTCCGGTGATGTCCGGATCACCGGACAGTCCGGAAGTGTCCGGTGTCCAGGTCCGCGGTTACCATGATATATATATATATATTTTATAATGAGAAAAATGAATGGTTTCAGTGTGCGCCCCTCATCTTTGTCTTGCTTTTTAATCTTTACTGTTTGTTTCGCGAAGTGCGCTCTTTTTATCACATAACTATGAACTAAAAGAGCGCACTTCGCGAAACAACCAGTAAAGATTCGAAAGCAAGATACACTTCGCGAAACAAACAGTAAAGATTAAAAAGCAAGACAAACATGAGGGGCACTCTGAAACCATTCATTTTTCTCATTCTTCTTTTAACTCCCCTTTCACCGTGCCTCTCACATACAAGGCTCGCCACTTTGATGAAGTTGAGCGCAAGCTGGCCGCATCCCAATGTGCCATAACGACCCACTTGTACGCTGTGAGAAAGAGGCAAAGTAAAAGGGGAGCTGATAAATGCAGGGAAGAGAGATGAAAAAAAGACAAAAGAGAAAACATGGGAAGTAAGGGAAAGTACGGAGTGTGGAATGAAAATGAAGGCAAAGGAGAGGATAAGAAAACCCTCAAGAATGAGTCTGTCCTTGACGACAGAGAGGCCACACATTGAAAGGATGAGGTGGATGGGCACATGGAAGACCTAGCTGAGCATTCTCAACACAACAATTGCCGCGACGGCTGGCATTGAGCATGCCCACCATACACTCCCAACAAATGGCATGTCGATTGCAGGCCAAATGAAGGAAGAACACTCACCACATTCAGTATTGCGCCCATGGCTGCAAAATGGACATATAGTGTCCAAATGCGGAGGGTGCCTGCAGTCAGGAACTGAGGGACAATCCTCTACAAACATGGATGCAGAAAACATGTCATTGTAGTCATTGCAATGATTGTGACAAAGACGATGGCAGCTACAACCGAGTGTAACAACGTCTGTAGTTGTGCGAAGGAGAAGGTCGCAGAGTGTTCGTACAGTGTCCTGCTGCAGCACAGGGCCAAAGGAATGATCTTCAACATATTGGAGATTGCGGACAGTTGGGTGTGGCAAGAAAACAACATCATTATGTAAGAAATCAGTAACATCAGTCACAACATGGACCATGATGCCGTTGTCCCACAACTCTCAGTGGGTCAGAGGTATGTACAATGGCCATGTAATGGCTAAACCACTCACCTGCTCGAGCATTGCGTAGTTCAAGTTGGTGGTCCCTCATTACTACTTGTAGGACAGTAATGGTAAAGCCTCTTTCCCTGGTATAATTACAACCCTTTGGTTGTAGGCAGGGGACATTAGCATCAAGCTGAAGGGCGATTGCAAGGTGATGGTCTGTAAAACGGGTAGTGGAGAATGTGAAGATAGATATTAGTTGCAATTAGACCATAGAGATTGGTGATGATCTCAGGCTAGTGTGTTGGATACTCGTCAACAATTTGCAGATCACCCAGATGGTGTTGCAAGCCCAAAATATTTTGGGTTGTTTGCTGGTCAGTCATTCGCAGATCACCCATGCGGTTTGCGTGTGGTGAGGCACAATTTGTGGTTCATCCAAACGATGCTGGTCAGTCATTTGCAAATCCCCCACGCAGTCTACGCCTTGTGGGGTTAACAACAATCAAGGCAAATCAATGTTCCAATCCAGCAACGCTTGGGGCCGCATCCTGAGTAGGGACTGTCCTTGGAATCGAGAGTGTACTCTGGGCAGGGACCACATCCTGTTGTACAGGTGAGTCATGAATATCTACCGATGAGGGGCATAAAACATGGTGTTGTGGCTGCCTGCAGGCAGCTGGACTGTCTACAGGACGCATAGGAGGGGATATTGTCGTTTGGAACAAGGGAACTGCAACAACCTATGGTCCAGGCACAGAGAGAATTGGGGCAGACAAACAAACAGGCTACTCAAGTGACGATGTCGCGCATGTCGTCGATACACAATAAGAGCAGTGGTGTTGCAAGCAGAAGATGATGAGCATGTCTCTGGCAAAGGTGGAACAATGGGAACAATGGGAACAATGGGAACAATGGAAACTAAAGAGTTTGTTCGCAAGCGAGACCGTGGAGGAGATGGGGGTGGGGCGGAGGAATGCAGCCGCCTACGGCCAAGCACAGAAAAAAATGAAAAGAATGGGTAGATTGGGCAAGATTTTGAAACAAAGGATGCGAGTGTCGGAGGGACTGTGATGTCCTTTGTGCTAGAGGTGCGACAAAGGAAGATGTAGCAGGAAAAAGTATAGTACGGGGAATTCCAGCTATAGAAACTGTTTTACTGAAGATTGCAACAGAGGAAGTTGTAATAGGAACAGCGGCGGTGGAAACTGCAAAAGCAACACTTCGCCGGTTCGAGCGAGTCAGGACCACGACGAATATAACTTAATAGGTCAAAGTGTCAGATTGTGAAGTTGAAAACATGGGTTCAACTCCTGTTATTTGCCTCTTGCATCTGAACTCTGGCGAGCCTTACCCGGCCAAAGCAAGCATCAAGACAGTAACTACTGAGGTAAAAACCAGAGTTATAGAAACTGTAGCGATGGAAACTGCAGCATTGGAAACCGTAGTGGTGGAATTTGTAACAATAGAAAACTGAAGCAGTGGAAAGTGCAGTAGCAGAAACTGCCGGTCAGATTGAAAACCGTAGTCGTA